CTCTCACATGGACCCACATGCTCACCAACTCAATACTGGTAGTTTTTTCGTTTTCCACAATTCAAGTGATGCATGCATGCTGCATGCTGCACATTCTTGTGAAAGTAACCAGCTGGTGTGGTCATGGGAGCAGGAAGAGAAGCACTCTTGCCCACGCACTACGTTTTCGCTGGCGGAATTTCCTTCTACCTTGAGCAACAGAACTGCGGACGAACAAGCGTGGTTGAGGGAGGGCAGGGGGGATGCAAGGGGCCTCTGCTGATTTGATTCTAGAGAGAGCCATTTCTTTGGATCTCATTTTCAGTGTCCTGTATGGCGAACCTTGTCATCAAATTGACCCAATAAGTAGGACCGGCCACCTCACACTATAAAATTTTCGCATGTTGATGATAACCAGGTTTGGATTGGACAACTTCCGCTTGCTGAAACCAGAACTTGGGCAAACGTTGTGGTTCACTACTAGATGCAGTCATTTACTTTGTTTGGACTTGTTTTTTTGCATTGATGACACTCCTACTTGCATGTGTCTTGCATACTTCTGGCTCCAAGGTTGCTTATGAGTAGCTTCTGTGTAGGTTGCTGACTCTCCCAGAGCAATCTGAGGGTGACATCCAGTTGAAGTGTCCCATTAATATTCCATACCGACGCTTGTTTAAATATCGCAATGCACATCCGGATAGCGCTCCGCAGCATCAGCTTGAGATTAGCGGTATATATCTGAGGGTGATCAAACTGCACCACCAAGGATTGGCTCAACAGCAACCCTCTAGTCCCTGTAGTCATGGAAAGTTCACAGACTTTACAAGAAGACATGTGCCATACAAAGTGACTTGAGCAAGGGACTCGTTCTGATCTAGTCTAGAATAGATTTATTTAGCATTTGTGAAAGAAATCTCACGTCGAGCCAGCAATCACCCTTGCCACGAATCTAGAAGATATCATTTTTCTGTAGCACCAAATCAGATTGGAATAGCCATGTCTCTGAGGCCTAAGCTGTGTCACTTTGGAAGCCTTGCCGGGCCTTCTGGATCAATTCCCAAAAGATAAACATGCGTGATGCCGCGATGCCGGAGTAAAGCACAGGTGAAGGTTGTTGTTGTTACCGATGCCGATGCCAGTAATTGATGGTATTTGATATCGAATTCTTCCGTTCAATGTTATACTGTATAGATTCCTAGATCGGCCAAGGTCAGTCTATCTACTGTACGGGGTAGGAAAGCATGGGCCATGGGAATCTAAAACTGTGTCACCACAAAGCCAGTTTCGTTATTGTTGGTGTTTATTATTTTGCTTTATTTGTTTTGTAAACTGCTTACATGTCAAGAACGCTCTCCCTGTGCTTTCCCAATTTTGAAGCCTAGCACGGACATGTTCTGTGGTAGGTGTTTCCAACATTATCAAGCGGTAGTTAGTGTTGCCGTTTTGCCACATGCAGCAATCAATCATATTATAGGAGTTGCATTGTATATATACACACACACTATACACATAACAATTAACAAAGTTGAGTTGAGAGGTGTCATCCAGGGATGCACATGGATGACATTCTTGGTGTGTCGATCCATGTTCCATTTGTCTAAAGTTGAAAGTCGCACTATGATGTTGTTCCTGTTGAAATTGGGGTGGCAATGGGTGACATACAATATTGCTTATCCGTGCTGGGGGGGCAACGGGGAGATGAAGACAGCAGGGTGGGGAAAGGCTCGAATTTGAGTCACGATATCTGTACAAGAAGGACGACAGCAATGCCGGCATGATCACGGTAGCACCAAGAGCATCACCGATCACAAAGGGCATCACTTTTGCTCGCCAATACTCTTCAGGTGGTGCCAGGCGATGGTCGTTGTGTCGGGGCCAGAGGCCGACCTGGCGCAGAGCCTGGGTGCTCTTGGTGCCTCTCGGCCGAGCACGGAGGCTGGAGCGATCCTGGAGGATGGGCGGCTTTCGGTCGCGGCGCAGGGAAACCAAGATGGGCACCGTAACAAGCTTTTGGTCAAGCCGCCAACAACCCCAGCTTGTCCACCGTGTCATCAGCTGCTAACGTTCCATGCCACCTGGCAGACGATGATATCAATATTTATCAATAATTAATTAATGGCTTTGTATTATATAATATGTATATTTTAATATATATAAATCCCAAGCACTGCAATGTAATGCAACTGTATACAATGCAGAGTCTTTTGAGCAATGTCCTGCGTGAAATAGTGTTCACAAAAGTCATCGAACATCCACTATAATGAAACAAGGCTCAGCGTTGCAAGTGTAGCATTTACCAAGCAGTTCCCGAAGAGGTGCAAGGCTCAGGTCTTAAAATAGAGAGTACAACTCTTTCTTTCTTACTAAAAAACCTTTAGCATCAGTCATATGTTTGGATTCTGTCCAAAGACAAAACCTTGGCCTTTGTCAATTGTGAGGTCGGGCCTTTGCCTTTGCGAGGGTAGCTCCGCGGTGCCTTCCTTGGGCTAGTTTTTGGAGCATGGAAAAGCTAACAAAGTAAACGAAGGAAGGCAAAGGATTGTTGGGTTCTGTCTCCTTGGTGTGCCTCATGAAAAAACAACGCATTTGTTCAGTGTGCAAAGACGTTCATAGGCATTTTGTGTCGAGTGTACGTCTCATATACCTCATTGCATTTTGGCATGCTGAACCTGCAGGCAAGAGATAGCCAGGACGACTCCATATCCATCCATCTATCATAGAAATGCATGAAGATATACACCACGGGTACTAATCCAATCAATACATTAACAGATTTGCTTAGCAATGCTTCAGGCCTTCGCTTCCACATTCATATTGACAGAATATCACAATTCCTATTGGCGCACCTGTAGAAGGCCCCACTTTGAGTCGTCTTGGCAAATTCCACACAAACCAGATCCTGGTTGGAGGCCATCGCTATTAGGTTGGAGGCTGTCGCTATTAGGTTGGGGCCATCGCTATTAGGTTGGAGACCGTCGCTATTAGGTTGGGGCCATTGCTATTGGGTTGGAGGCCATCGCTATTGGGTTGGGGCCATCGCTATTGGGTTGGAGGCCATTGCTATTATGTTGGAGGCCATCAGGTTGGAGGCCTTCCTTATTGGGTTGGAGGCCATCGCTATTGGGTTGGAGGCCATGGCTATTTGATTGGAGGCCATCGTTACTTGGTTGGAGGGCATCGCTATTAGGTTGGAGGCCATCGCTCTTAGGTTGGAGGCCTTCGCTAGGAGGTTGGCAAGCCATCGCTAGTTGGTTGGAGGCCATCGCTAGTTGGTTGGAGGCCATCGCTATTAGGAGGCCATCGCTATTAGGTTGGAGGCCATTGCTATATGTTAGGTTGGAGGCCATCGCTATAGGTTGGAGATGGTTGGAGGCAATCACTATTAGGTTGGAGGCCATGGCTATATTGGGTTGGAGGCAATCGCTATTCGGTCGGAGGCCATCGCTAATTGGTTGGAGGCCATCGCTATAGGTTAGAGGCCATCGCTACTAGGTTGGAGGCCATCGCCATTGCTATTTGGTTGGAGTCCATTGAAATTGTTGGAGGCCATCGCTATTAGGTTGGAGGCCCACTGCTATTAGGTTGGAGGCCATCGCTATTAGGTTGGAGTCCATTGCGATTATTAGGTTGGAGGCCATCGCTATTAGGTTGGCGGCCCACCGATTTGTGATTAGGTTGAAGGCAATCGCTATTAGGTTGGAGGCCCATCGCTGTTAGGTTGGAGCCCATCGCTATTTGGTTGGAGTCCATTGCGATTAGGTTGGAGGCCATCGCTACAAGGTTGGAGGCTCATGGCTATTGTGTTGGAGGCCGTCGCTATTAGGTTGGAGTCCATTGCTATTGGGTCCGATGTGCCGTCCAGGTGGTGTTGACCTCTGCCACCCTTTTCGCGCCTTTCCTCCGCCGGCGCTTGGCCTCGCTGGCACCACAAGAAGCGCTGGACCCGCAACTGGTGGCCACCACTGAGTCTGGCGCCGAGCGAGTTGATGCTGAGTTGATGTGAATTTTGTTTTGCGCTTCTTCAGCCGTTGGTCTAGCCAGTAGCCTACGAGTTGATGTATACACATTGCGTCGGATCACATAGGTTCCAAATTCCATTCACATCCCAGTGAAGTGTGTCATAGCATGTCCATTTTGCAAATGCATCTAACACGCCGTGTAAGAAGTTTTATATAAAGCAGCCTTATACTATGACATGTTCCGGCTCATGTTAGCTAGACATGGTTGTAGCACCATGCTTCGCCATGAGGCCGCGAAAGATCCGCGAAAGATATCTTTTTTTTCCACGAAGAATGGTCATTCCAGGATGAAAGAATACGGATCAACCACCATATATATATATAATTTTATATATACAATGGTATATAAAGGACATACAGACCCAGTAGGGCCTCCGCAAGCGCACAGTGAGGGAGACGACCGGACCAGGCCCAGGTCAACTGTAGGCAGACGTAGTGAAGCGAGCTGTCAGGCGCAGGCTCACAACACGTTTCGCGCATGATGGAAGGAGGTGCAGATCCTTGTCTAGCACTCCTCACTTGTTTCCAAATCCCAACACACTCGTTCACCCTCTCGTTCACCCTCGTTCCGATACCTCTTTGCGACTTGTGTGATATAAATTATAAGTAAAGTGCCCAGACCCTGGTCCAAAGAGATATCAAGGGACCACAAGGAGATTAACATCATTTAACATCATTGCTAAATCATTGCGCTTCCATGCAAGAAGCTTGTTGTGAGTACGTGGCAATGGTGCCAGGGAAGGAATTGCAGGACACATCAAAAAACATTGCCAAAGCAGTGCGTTTCCATGCGGGAAGCTGGTTTTTGCAAGGATAATGCCCTGGCGTTGCGTTTCCATTGGGGAACACACGCCTTTCTTACTATGCCGTGACTTCCGCGGCTGAGTGCAGTGGATTTTTTTAGGCAAGTCACAAGAGTTGAACTCTTGATCCTCTCATGTACCCAATTGTTTATGCCAAGATTCAGCGCACACACTGTAAAATGTAAGTTGGTGTATTGTATGAGTCCGAGTGTGACGCGCACGCACACACAAAAGGTAGATGTATTTGGACACTTGCACAAACATGCAACTGATTGCGCACGTGTACGTGCCCAGCCACCATGACACAACAGCCAGGCTCTTCGTTGTTCTACCAGGCAATGAGCATGATGTGCTGGAGGCCGGTGCGTCAATGGATGCTGGTTTGCAGTCTAAAATAGGTTGAGTTGATTGAGGTGGGACTCGACGGAGCAGATATCTAGAGATGGGCTCAAAGAACCCACCTCCAGGACTCAAGGCCTTTGAAACACCTTTGCTTAGCTTGGCCTTGACTATGAAAAGAAGACTTATACTAATACGCATGCTCCTGTTTGCTTGGCAATTTTCTGTGGGCCTTCTACGACCCCTTGATTTTCCTTTAAAGCAAACCTGTTGCTGACCTGCTGTATCATGAGGCCTCCCTTGCAGCCTGCTTGCCACTTCCGCCGGAGACCTCGCTTGAGCACCTTCAGGTGCAGCCCATCAGCATATCGGTTTTATTTCAGCACAGCGTGTTTCACACTTTCTTTCTCTCACCGCTACTGTAGAAAAGCACCAGCTATGACAGACCAATTCAGATTTTCCCAGTTGCCCCAACTCGCACATTTACTGTACTTGTATACATTTGTATACCAGCTTCAGGAGTTCAGATCTTGATGCAGCATGATCAATTAAAATACGTTTGTTCTCCTCAAGGTGGCCTTGGATGCCGCGCCTCGGGAGCACATGGCCTGGCGCCCACCAACTGTAGGCCGGATGCTTAAGCTGCTTTAAATTTTACATTAGTTCCTACAAGTCTTGGAACCAAATGAATAGAAGCGTGAGCTATCCTGCGTCCAGTAGGCAGTAGCTTACTTAAGCTAATAATAGTAGCTACCTCATTCATCAAATTCTAGGAAACAAATCATTAGAAGGGTGAGCTATCCTGCGTCCAGTTACTTGAAGCTTACTCTCTCTTGCTTAATTAAGTAGGCTCCTACTTATATAATTAAGTAGGGAGGCAGGGCCTCGGGCTAAAAAGAATATAGGGCAATGATTATCAAAGTCGATTTGTCTTAAGAAAGCCAACTGGTCCTGTACTCGATTTATTGATCATACCCTGACTGTCCCCAACTTTCGATCCAGGCAACCTTGGAGTTGCATTGCTCCGCTGCCTGGCCTTTTTTGCCAAAGATTGCTGACATTGGTCTACCCGCTTCACATAATTAAGCAAGTTGGGCCGTTGGGAATATGTGTCTTTTCATTTGCCAAAAACCATGAAAACAATATTTGCTAAGCAGCCTAGTGGCTTGACTTCGCTCCTGTATCTCCTCAACTTCCCGGAACTCCTGGCAGTTAGTGCCAGGTGCACGAAATAAGTTGCACTCCATGATTACTGTACATTCCCTGACATCTCTCGGCTTGGGCATACGTGAATGATATTGTTGCTCGGGTGATTTGGATGTGCAGTGTAGTGCTTTTTTTGTACTGGCAAGTTTTTGTCCTTCTCACGTGTGCAGACAAGGCTTGATGCGTGCCCCATCCGTGTCTTGCCAGCTGAGATTGCCCGCATGTGCAAGGAGCTCAGTTGGAAGAGAAAAGACACCGACACCCTTTCGACAATGAGCAGCTCTCGTTCAGATGCGGGCTAAACAAGCTTAGGCTGCTTTGAGTTTGCTTGGCCAAGGCTTTGCGAACGTTTGCTGTTTTTTGGGTCACAAGTTTGGTTGGGAGTTGGGATGCAGTCAAGGGGTGCTTGGCATTGGCATTGCTCGATTACTTGCTGTCATGGGTGCCGGCGGCGGCGGCTTTGTTGTTTTTGTATTGTGGGTTGGGTGCAGTGGTTAGGGGAAATACATAAATGATCATAAATGCAGCCTGGAGTTGCATTGTTGTAGCTTGCCATCGGCACAAAGGCTTGGGCATGAGTTCAGATTCATGACTTATTCTGGGGAAGCCTTTTCACGGAAGCTAGCTCTTGCTAGATGGACGAGCCTCCTCGCAGGGCTTGGGCTCAACTCCACCCGGTCCATTTAGGATTGGGTGATCAGGTGTTTGAGTTCGGCGTTGTCTGGTTCTGTGTCAGTTCGATAGTCTTGGTCTGTCATGTTGTTTGGGAAGGATGCTTTGTCGATTTTTGTGCACAAACGGGTTTCAATCTATATAAGACCTGCTGCACACTTGCCGCTCCGACTTACTCGCCCGCTGTCCGCTAACTTTGGTCCACCGCCACTGGCCTCAATCCCTTCCACATTAAAAGACTAAAAGACACAAGGGCCCGAATTAAAAAAGATCAGGATCCAATAGGATCCACTGCTTTTAAAATAGGGGGTCCCCAAGTCCCCAAAATGGGGTCTCAAGAATAGGGTCAGTGGGAGTCAGCGAGAGCCCAGACAGGAGGATAATTTAGCAAGTAATTGATCAACCAATAACTAACCAGGGCTCTCAGCCAGGGACTGACAGTCTGCCAAACAGGCGAAATGCCGAGCGGGAAGGGGTGTATTTAGGAACCCGTTTTCTGTAAGTAGGTCAGAGGGTGTGGGTGGGTGTGGGTGAAAGAGGGTGCGGTGAGAGGCAGCCAGCCAGAGTGGATGGACAACCAGGGTCCAGGGTGAACAGACAGAGTGGACAGTCAGGATGGACAGCCAGAGTGGACAGAGGTGGACAGTTGGGGCTGTTTTCGGAACCTAATTATCGTCCATGTTGTTGGTTTACCAGTAGGTTAAGAATGCGGGAATCTAGAAACGAGTATAAACCCCTATTTATGGGTCTCCGACGTGCCTTGTTTGTTTTTAATTGGGCGGCAGCATTTTTTAATATGTGCTCGGGAGTATTTGTTCGCGAAACATCAATCAATCCTTTTGATTGTTCAATCGTTCATTGTTTGTGCTACCAAGGACTTTCGGGTTGGTGAAAGGTTGAGGCTATTGAGCTCGGCCTTTGGGCTCTTGAAGGCTTGGGCCTCTCGAGAAAGCAGATATGTTTGTGGCACTAGGTTTGGCAGTCGATGATATGTCTTTAAAGTGTGGACGTGACTTTGGATTTGCAACGTAACGTAGGTTCTACATTTCACTGAAACAACGACTCAACTGGCAAAACATCGTGAAGGCTGCACTTTATTGCGGGGATACAGTTGGGGGCGTTTCAGGCATCCGTTTTCCTGGGCGCAGAGACGGAGTGTACTGTGGCAGCCATCGAGAAGGATGCGCGTTCAAAAGAAACATATGTTTCAGCGTTTGAACAGATTGAGTGGATGTCATCAGAAGCCTGTGTTGTACGAGGTAAGGGACACTATGTCCATTGATGTGCATTGTTCATTTGGTCATAGAAGCTTCTTGTTACTACTAGTAACAAGTGCCACGCTACTAGTAACAAGTGCCTTACTAGTAGTAACAAAAAGCTATATTAGACTTAAATTAAATTTAATAGCTTTAACTCTATAAACTATTTGGCATGGCATCATTGCGAATGCGTTGCTCAAAGCTGTGCATCACCTTGATCCGCAGGGGTTGATTGCATTCAAGTGGCGTGATGGGCAGATTCAATAAGTTCTATGAAGTCCTTCTTAACTTAACACTCATTGCTTCAGGACTCCCACCTTCTCCTTTTGGATGGCCGTTGGTTGCCGGGTTGCGAAGGTGGAGTTCTGCTGGATAAGGACAGTTTGAGTGGCAATACATGGCAATACCTATTTGATTGTCCAACAAAAAGTCCCTTATGAATCATGAGCAAAGGATTTTTGAAGTCTTCTGAAGGCACATTGTTTGTGCTCCAACTCCCCCCGAGCCAACGAGGTTGTCAAAGGCTATAGTGCATTCTGCAAGAATGGAACATCCAAAGGAGCAGGTTTATTTAGGATCACCATCACCAGATTGGAAGTTCTAACAGGGGATCGACATTTCGAGGCACGGGGAAGTTTGCCCGGACAAGGCTTTTATTTAAGATTCTTTATATAAGAGGCTTATATGGTTTGCACAATCGGCACAGTGGGCTCTACCTGCGGCTAGGATGGCTCTCCCTGCGCATTGTTGGCTGCGCCCTTGCGCGCGCACGGCGGCCGGTGGACCTTATGTCCAGCTGTTCCTCTGGAAGGCCCAGTGTTGAAGTCATTTGTATTTTGACGGGAACGTCATATGAAGTCAACAGTTTCAACGAGTTCCACATGAACTCATCTCTGTGGACTATTGGTCATCTCAAGATGGTTGGGAACAGAGATGAACACCTAATACCAAGGTCAATAATTTAGTCCATATCATTCCATTGTTCAAACCTGCAAACAGAGAACCGATCTACATTTCCTGCAGGATTCTCAGAAGAATCAGTCAGTAAATTCACAGAGCAACATCTTCTCGAATTGTTCGAAGGAGTGCTGGCAGCGGTGCTGAAGACCTTGGCTGGAGACTTGTTGCCTCCAAGCCTGAAGGACGCACGTGTGCCGTTTAAGAAATTGGTGGGGACAAAGAAGGTAAGGGCAAATTTGTAAAGGCTCCAAGGGGACCTTACCTTCTTTTTGCTTATCTCATTTTTGCCGTCATTTTTTCCATGCCTTTCGTATACAGTTGAGATATGTTGGAACTTTGTCAGTCTCCCATTCTGCAGGATCCACCCATAGCAGAAGCAGGTCTCAGCCCTGGATTTCAGAGACAATGTTTCAAAACACAACGCCCTTTCTTGAGATGTTTTAACTGTGTTCAAACTATCTTCATGAGAATCTGGAGCAGAATGTTGAAATGTGTCTAGCAGTGCTGTGGCGGGCACTGATGTTACTTGCAAGTGGAATTACAGGTGTTGCATGACTTGATGATAAACATGCAAGTCGCTGTACAAATCTTTGCAGGTCTCGTGGCCAATCTTGAGGATACAGTCTCAAATTCCAGCGTCTCCACACCGGATTTGTGCGGAATACCAACATCTACAGTATATACTATATACATATACTGTAGTTATTTTGACGCTCACGCATGGATCTTGATTACATCCGTTTGTTCCTCGTTCCGCACCAACTTTGGGCTGGAAGTGGTGGCAGATTGCAGTGGCTCTCGCTAGTCAAATGTGCACTTGGCAGTTCAGTATGCGCTTGAAAGGGAGGACCAACTTGGTCAAATTTCTCGATGAGTACTTGTTGCGTGGCAATGCCACTTCTTGGCATAGATTGGACACGCATAGATTGGACACACCTAGGAAGATGACCAGGTCTTGGGTAAGCAGATGAAATAGGTAACTAGGTGAGATGTTTATTGTTATTTTTGGTCATCTGGTTTCTCGAGGCATCGTTTGTTCACTGGGCCCTGATATATTGGCATTTATTTGCACATGTCACATGTTCCTTTTTGTATTCTTTTGTAACAATTTGCCGCATACACTTTTACCCACTATCCTTCCGACTCAGTGGAAGCAGGGCTTGCTTTTAATTTTGCTTCTTTCTGGCAGGCTGTTCGGGCGTTACCGGCCTAATTGTCATGCACACTGGAGCGGAGGCAAGTAAAGATGCTAAGATGCTAGTACAGCTTGGATGAGAGCGGGACAAATGGGTACCCAGGCAGGTCTTCACAGTCACAGTATTCAATTGTATTCAAAGTATTCAGCATACATCAGCTTCTACATGAACATCTGACAAATCTGTGAAGGCAACCTGCATGAGATTTGCATAACCGATGGCTATGTCCTTTGGCTAGATGGAAGTCGGTGGGGCACATCCTCCAATGAGAATGCTTTGTGCGTGCTTTGTACATGCCCGATGTACGCAATAAGCATTGTCGGTTGGACGCGAACTTGCACGAATTAGCCATACATGTTCTGAGAGGCCTTCGGGTGCTTGCTACTTTCCAGCCATCACGTGCTGGTGCCTGCCACGATCTTGAGGCGGAACAATCCGAGGTTGTTTCGCCTTTGTGTTCAGGTTTCCAGTCTTGTTTTTTCTTGGATGAGTTTGTGCTGGTTGTCCAAGCAAACACTTCCAATTGGAGTCATGTACCTTACTACAAATTATGGTGTAGAAAAACATTATTTCGACGTTTGCTGCGGAGCTGTCCCACATTGTCCACAAGTTGCGCAAAGCAGCTAGAACCCTTCAAACCTTTTCCTACTCTAATGAGTTTTGGGGACGTTGCAGGAGGGCTGCACTGCATAAGGCTATCATTTATGTGAACAGGTGGTTTATGAGGTTTGCTTTTGTTCAAGGAAAGGCCAAGGCGCCAATTTGTCGCCAAAAGCCGCTTGGTCAGATTAGGGGATGTACATGGATGTGTTATAAGACTCGCAGAACAAGAGCAGACAAAAAGAGACCAATGACAAGAGTTTCATGGAATTTCTTGCTCGATGGAAACCTCGGCTAGTCTCAGGGCCTCAGGCCGGCATGGCTTTGAAGCGAAGCGAAATGGAGTACGTTGCACTTTGCGACGTGTAGAGGATGTTTGTAGTGCTGGGGCACCTGGACGGCAGAGACACGACGTTTGATTATCGCTGGATACAGCTTGCAGTTTCAAGACGCGTGACTCGACAGCAGATTGGCATACGTTGGTATTTAATAGATAATTACTCGAGAATTCATGACAAATCAAGCTTTGAGCGCAGCGCAGTGTCAATTGACTGCATTGAGTTTGGATGGTTTCAGCGTTGGTTCAAGAACTTAATCAAATTCTTGAATGTTTTGTGTGTGCCGGTGAATGGAGTCGAAGATTCCAGAATCGGCATTCAAGATGCTATTAGGTTGGAGGCCATTGCTGTTACTTGCACTATCTTGTACTAGCCATCCAGCTGCACCGCCGACCTGCTGCTGAGTTGGGACTCGTGGTGGCTGAAGTGCAGCACCTCAAAGACCAGGCCTGTTGGAGAGCTGGGCTTGATTGACGGCATCCGCTTGTCTCAAGATGAACCGCAGAACAACCCATCATTTCTGAAGTGACTCAACAACTCAAACTCAAACAGTTTCTTGATCACAGAGACCTTTACTGTTGGTTCTTTGGCCAGCAAGCTCGATTGCACAGGAATCAGGACAGGTCTTTCATCCGTCGTCCTATTGCTTGGTTCCCTCCATTGGGTCTTGCCACTGAAATTGCAACGGAATCAACAGCATTTGCAGTTCATAACCTGGTGGGACTCTCAAGCTGCTTTGGATTGGTCCAATTTACATCAAATTACATCAATTTACAGTGATCCCAGTGATCCCCATCCTGGTCAGTCAGCAAGTTAGCAGGCAATAACAGGCATCAGCTTGTAGCGCGATGAGTTACATATTTTATTGTTGCAAGACCTGACATCGCTGTGTCATTGAGGCAAGATAAAGGGTTCCTGCACTTCTTCCTGTGTTCCCTGGCTGGAAGGGCTCCTTTTGTAGACATGAGTATTCGGACATTTGTCACTCTAGCAAACGCTTCGCAAAGACCGAGCCGCTCAACCCAACTTCAGGAAGCCTTCACTTGGCCAGGCTGCGCTCCGTGTGGAATTCTCGGAGCCACATGAAAAATGTATACATACCCCCGGCCCCAGTTGCATCAAGGTGTTTCATTTTCAATACATGCTTGGTACTTGGAACTAGTTGCGCTGTCTCATCGGTGAATTTGATTGCAGTAGTTTTGTACGGAACAAAAGCCACCTTGTGTCAGAAGCTGTGAGACCATTCCCACAAGAACATCAAGAACTTCAAGAACTATGTCCTCAAAGATTCCCCAAAAACCTAGGTTTCAAATCATTAGAAGCGTGAGCTATCCTGCGTCCATATGTTGTAGTAGCGTCTTAGTAGCGGCGCCTACTTAATTAAGGGTGGGCTCAAAAACACATTTCCCACACTATACGTTTGGTGGTTTGCCAAGACTTGCGCATGTCTCTTAAGTTCCATGCAGCAACTTTGCTGGATCATAGTTGATACCATGAGCATGATACCAGAGCTGTAAGCCAACCAGAGTACTCGTTGAGGAAGCTTCGTATTGACGGCGGCGAGCCTTGTGAGGCCATGAGCTGGATTTGCAGGAAGGCCGCGAGCTGCTAGTAGTGGACCTGAAAGGCCTGCCTTTGAACATTTCCCTTGTGCACCTCAGAGTAGATTTGCATTTAGGCATTGAGCATTATTTGCATGCTAACCTTTGCGAGAGAGCCTTTGAGGAATGGACAGCAACTTTTGATAGGGGTTTGCATGGGCTTTGCATATCGCAGGGTCGTAAGATATGCACCTATGTAATCCTATGTATACCCGACCCCGACCCCTCTGCAAAAACAACAGGAAGGTTTGCGCAAGAAAATTCAACTGGATCGGTCCATACGAGGAAATCAGCGCAGCTTGCAGGTTTCAGACTCATTATATAAGTTCTTTCCGGTTCTTTATCAGTCATACGGTGACAAAAGAGATGTGAATTTGACTCATTTGACGTCTTACACCCTCACCTGCTTTCTCCAGGCCCAAAGATGGCCACTGGGATCCTACAGCGCTGGTTGGGTGCACGTCACCACCCACAGGCCATGTGTGGACGGTCCTTGTGATTGTTGCTAGCACTTGTACTGGTTGCTGTAGAACATGCAACGTGGCCATTGTTTCACAACAGACATGGTCATTAAGCACCTTGATCCCTCCATATTAGGCCGGAATTGCATTCAAGTAACCTTGACAAGCCCCAAAAGAAGGCTTGAGCCCGAAGTGCATGACCTGCTAGAGCTGTGGTTTCTTAGCAATAAACGTTGCCACGCCTGGATCCCCACTGAAGAAGCGACTGCCGGACTGCCCAGGCGCCTCCTGCACTGGAGTGTGGTTTGCCACTTGCAGGCGTGAAGAGTGGTGCACTACAGAGCTGATGATGAAGCGGGAGTAGAACCTCCCCAGTTTCGATCAAAAGATGCTTTATTGAAGCCACACATTTGCGAAGTTAAATACATTGATTCATTTTCTTGACCTGGTACTCCCTGACCAAGCTGTTTGTGAACAAGCTTTATGCATCTTTAATCATCTTTATGATGCGTTTTCTGAAAGACATAAAGCAACGATAGAGAACCACCAATCCAAAATCCAGGAAGTAATCGGATTTTGCTGGATTTGTATATTTTCGTATGTAGTCAAAGACCACGGAAACTACTTCGGTAATGTTCGGTCAAACTGAAATTAAACCCATCAACATCCATCAACCCTTTAGAGAATGGACACATTTGATGGAAAATCCTCGAGGCTGGGCACCATTGGTCACATTTTTAAGATTTAAAATATAAACCACTCCGTCATGCTGCGTAAACAGCAAACCTTCGGTTCGGTTGGTTTCGATTGGTTTTGCAGACATTCGGTTACTTTGCTGGCCTGTTCGCTTCAGTGTCGTTTTTCTTTCATGTCCGACAAATTGATGCATTGATGCATGTATTGCCTTGTGGTAATAGTTTTGCCTTGTTTCACTTGATATACACACTCTCTGGGGTCTATGCTGGTGTAAATTCAACCTGGAAATTAACGTATATGCCGATTCAGTTCGGTATGCTAGTTTGGGTGTACCATTTCGGTTCTGTTCGGTTGCGTGCACGGGCACTTCCCACATTGAGGAATATTTCAACCAACACGTGCCTTGTAAGCACGTAATTGGGAAGAAAGTGAAACGGTTGTCTGCGCAGGTTTGAACTAGGTCTGAACACCCTGAATGTGCACAAGGAGATAGACGGGCAGTCCAAACGTGGAAGTAAAGAGGCATTAAAACACATACCAAGAACTAGAGCCCGGCGACCGGCGACGGGGTCCAAACCAGCAACTGAAGCGGAAACTCCTGTTTCCCAATGAAGTGTGTGCGAAGCCGACAGTGCTCCAAAGCTATTGGTAGGAAACCACATGAAAATGACCAAATTACTAAGTCTCTACAACCGTATTAGAATTAGGTCGACCAATGTTTCAAGATCCCACAAATCGTGGTTTGGGGTTTGGCCTTGGACCACTGGTCCACTGGAGATGGGGGTAGTATGGTCTAGTCTTTGACCAACCTTTTGTGATCGACACAAAACGGGACCTTATATATATGAGTCGTTTTCAAAATTATCGTCATTTACTTTATACAAGGGCGTTTCATCCAAGAGTGTGATTTCGGGTTTTCCTTGGAAAACGATACAGGACGTCAAAAAAAACGATACCCCTATTGCTATGTGCATTAGTTCCTTGAGTTTGTTTGAGTTCATTTCGGTATGTCGTCCTGCTACAGCAACTCTTTTGAGTTTGAAGGGCGTCACTTGATGAACTGGTTTGTTCTTGCATGTGTCACAAGCCATTAGGAATTGTGATTTGTGTTTGGAGGGCTGTGTCCTGGCTTTTGGCTCATGGGCCGGCCCTCAGCCTATGAGGAAAGGCTAGGCTCCGGCTCTACCACTGAACAAGGTACACGTCTTTGTCCGCCTGTTTTGGTTTGGAAAGGGGTTGTCTTCTCTTTGGTGTAGCGTGAGCGTAGCACATGTGCTTACAAGCAGTTTGATGTCATACAGTGATACAGAAAGTCAACATCATAAAACGATACCCCAAAGCGATGCCCCAACGATACACGAGAGAGTGCAAAAGGGAAGCTCCTTAGACAGTGCCCCATGGGCAAGGCTGCAAAGGTGCAGGCAAGCTTGTGTCCTCCAGCGAACGAGATCAGATCAGCAAACGAGCCGCAGAAGCCAGCAATGCTGCGCTTGCTGGAGCAGCCCTCCGTGCTGTTGTCCTTCCTAACTTCACAGAGCTCGTCACACTCCCAGTTGTGTCTTGTTGTCTATGCGCTTGTGTTTGTGGTTTGTTCGTTATGACCTGTGACGTTCATTGTTGGTGGCAAGACTCCACCATGCGAAGCGTGTAAAACCTGCAAACTGATACACAGTGTTCGGTCTACCAAAAAATTGTACAACGATACGGGACGTGTTAAACTTGATGAATACAGATTAAGCAAGTAGTTTAGAAAACAACGCATCTGTGCACAGCAAGTAGGCACTAGAGAATGGCTTTGCACTTTGCACCACCTACCGACCGAGGTTCCTAATTGCACTATATTATACGTATAGGCATTCCAGGAAACTACCTTCTCAGAAAGGTGTTGATCCAAAAGGCATTGCGGTTCGCCGGTTGGATTATGTGCTACTACGGGTTTGATTTGGCTCGGTTCCTGGAATGAATCGGTTCCAGTTCGGTTCAGGGCCTCCTGTATTTTGTTTTCAGCGTTTCAGTTCAAATATGGTTCGGTTTACCGGGTTTAATTCGTCTCACAGGCTTCCTGCGTAAGCCGAAGAAGGGAATTCGTGTTTTGTCGTGCGCAGGCTTTGGAGTTTGAGCAGAAACGTGAGTTAATGACAGTTAGTTGGTTTGAAATGCTTTTCATTTGCTACGCATGGCTGGATGTTTTCTTCATTTTTGGAGCTCCAGATACTTGTGGTTGAATTGAAGGTGTCCAGGGCAAGGAGGGGGGTTTTGCCCCAGGCTTGGATGAGGCCAACGTGTTCTTCGATTCAAGGACTGCCCCAGAACAGAACCATGCCGCCTGACTTATCCAAAGCATATAGCCATAATTATATATACTGTAAGCGTCGCGCGAAGTCATTTGATAGGTTGAACCCTGAACCCCATTGCCGTTCTCAGTTCTTGATCTTATATAAATTAAAGACCTTTCCATTATTTCATTTGTAATATTTTATACTAATTTATAGAAATTGTTTGTTTGCAGTATTCAACGCATCGAAGGATATTTTGACTCTGCCACTTCTAGTAGTTAGCAGGACCCATGCCTTCCTCGGATTTGGTCTTGCTGACCGCAAGGAGGACACTCGCCCAGTTCATGTCCGATAACGGTAGCATGAATCGTATCGAAACTTATATAAGATTTGTATCAGTTGTGTTATTTGTGCCATGGCTCCTTTATATACATACCCATGAAAGGACTTGGTGACAGCGGCCTGAAATGGCTAGAAGAATGATAGTTTCTTCAACTACCCTCAGGAGTGTGGCCATGCTGCCCTGGCGCTCAGCCAGCAGACTTCGCGAGACTTGATAACCAGAGTCACAAGGTTTAAGAATGACACCATGACAGACATAAACAAAGCAATTTTTAAGGGGTCAGAGGCTACCAAGTAGCTAACCACCTGTAGCTACTACTGTAGAGGACAGAGATAGCTCAAGGTTCTACAAGGAAGCTAGGGGCGGGGGGAGCTTCCTCGAAGAATCCATCGCAAGATTGATTTGGCTCCTAGATGTTTTGTGGGAAACTTATGGACACTCAACATCTGCACACTCCAAGAGTTGGCCACCTACTTCCAAGCAATTTCAAAAGGCTTGGCAATGACCATGATGCAAGTGGGGAGGAATCTTGTGCGGTGGACCAGCGTCCATCGAAGGGGGACTAGGGCGCTTGCTGGTTTATTGTTTCGCGCTTTGCCATGGCTGCTCATGTTAGTGGTACCTTAGTTCAGGGAGCTGAGTTTCTTTCTCCTGCTAGTTTGCAAGCAAGTTGTTGGCGCACCCATGCCGGGTGCATGTTTTGGGCATAAGCTATGCCCATGTGGTGGTTGGTTTTGTTTGGTGCTCGAAGTTCTCCTTGCACTATATAGTGGTAGCTGCCTGGGTTTTCCCGTTCGCTTCCCCCCTTTGCTAGACAAAGAGAGCGCGTTGGCGTGCCTTGCTGCTGTGGGTACATCCCTTGCCATTGGCATGCGCAGACTAAGCTAGCGCACCAGTCCCGCCAAGTAAGCACAAATAATACGAACCTTACAGTTATAGACGACTTGTGCACTTGCTCAACATTGTATGAAGGGAATCTTTGAACATGTCACAGCATGTCTCAGCTCCTGAGAGCTAGCCAACTTTGGAAGACCACTTGCGGGTGTCCCACACTGCTGAGGGAGACAAAAGTCCCTTTTGAGTCACACACTCTGACATTGGTTTGCTGTTAACTCAATTCCCAGGTCAAAAATGGCGAAGGAACGGCAAGGCGAAAGGTCCAAAGATTTGAAGATGTTTGAACGAATGGTTTGCGCACATCTGCACTTCACAAGAACAGCGGTGTCAAGCGATCAGCGCGGCTGCACATCTGCAGTGGAAAAGTGGGTTTAGGGGAGGAAACATGTAAGGACCATGGAAACAAACCGCTCGAATTGGACAGCTTGATCAAAAGTTCCCGTTGCAGGTGCAGGAATGTGCGTCCACATTCCCTCCCGGCTGAATCCCATAGCTTCGTTGGCATGGCTAGGGAAACAGCTGCCATGCCCCCTGCTTGGAAACATCGGAACCCTTAGGTACAGGGGTTGACGCACACACGGTGCCGCTTTGCGGCGCTCGTGCGAACGACCTGAATAGGCACCTAAAAAGCCTTAGAAACAAAAGAAAGAAACACAGAAAGAGCAGCGCTAAGAGGGCAAGAGAGAAAGATAGGTGTAGAAAAAAGGTGAATGCTTAGCCCTTGACTGGGGTAGGGAAACGAGCCTCAAGAACAACCTAAAAAGCTTGAGAGAAAGCCCAAGAAACGACCGAAAGCGTAAGAAAGAAAGGGGGGAGCAGGGAGGGGGTGTATGTAGCATGTGTGTGTCCGTGTGTGTGTGTGACTACTTAGCACTCTAGAGTTACTGACTACTTAGCCGAGGCGAATTAAATGCAATAGTTAGGGAGCGGGACTTTAGTCTTAGACCGCCCGGGTAGAGAAGACTAGAACAGGAACAACAAAGGGAAAGGCGCCGACGCACAAGTGTGTCGAGTACCATTTCCCTGTGTTGCCCTAATTAGGTGGGGAGTAGAACTCGGCGGCGGGCGGGGGAGGGTTGTGGGAAACATGCCTGACCTCAAGTGGAATTCCGTTTCTTTAGCCCGGCGGCTATGGTTGTTCACCGTGAAAGCCCGCGGCTCTTTGTTCAGACAATTCAGTAGTGGAACGAAGTCGGTTAAGAAAATCCGATCCAAGGTTTGGTGGATACGGTCAAGGCAGTTACACGAGTTCCGGCATGAAAACGGTGCCTCCTTGCGGAGGATCGCACCCAGCACCCAAGTGGGACGGCTGAGCGGTTCACACACTGACATTGGTTTGCTGTTAACTCAATTCCCAGGTCAAAAATGGCGAAGGAACGGCAAGGCGAAAGGTCCAAAGATTTGAAGATGTTTGAACGAATGGTTTGCGCACATCTGCACTTCACAAGAACAGCGGTGTCAAGCGATCAGCGCGGCTGCACATCTGCAGTGGAAAAGTGGGTTTAGGGGAGGAAACATGTAAGGACCATGGAAACAAACCGCTCGAATTGGACAGCTTGATCAAAAGTTCCCGTTGCAGGTACAGGAATGTGCGTCTATATTCCCTTCCGGCTGAATCCCATAGCTTCGTTGGCATGGCTAGGGAAACAGCTGCCATGCCCCCCTGCTTGGAAACATCGGAACCCTTAGGTACAGGGGTTGACACACACACAGAGGTTCAATTGGCAAAGTTCAATTGGCAAAATAATGGTGAGAATTTGTGTAGCCCGCGATGTTCATCGATGTTCTAAATGCAAGGCGACCCAGCCACTTTGTAATTCTCAGGTGCTGCCATTTCGATTCTATGGAGTTTCTGTCTTCCAGCTAAAGGACCGCTCGCTGCTGCACTTTTGTGCTGGAAGATGAACATCGGGGCAAGTTGGGCCGGTGAGTATATCTGTATATCTGTATATATTATAGTATATAGATATATATAGTATATATATATAGTATATTCAAAGTTACATATGCATGAACCCAGTACAGTAGGCAGTAGGCCATGCATTGCGTCGAATCGCATCAGGTCACATGGTCAGTGAGAGACAAAATCCTTGTCTTAAAATTTTCACAAGCTGATGGTCGGGGGACAAACTGGGCTGAAGACGTCAAGGACTTCGGGTATCGGGTGAGTCTAAAATCCTGCAGGTGGCAGCAGCGGCAGCCAGCAGTAGTTTTGATTCAAAGAATGCAGTGCCAACGAGATTTCACCATATTTCATGTCTCAATGTCGAAGAGTTCGCAGCCAAACGCAGGAGTTGCAAGAAAGCCTTGTACAAAGACCACATGGTGAGGTGTGGACACATGAGGCGTTTCATGAAGTCTTCAGAGATAGCTTCCCGATTCATGTAACTGTCAATGACTCTTGATTAGTTTCATGGGAAAAACATGTTTGCAATTCCATGAATCTCTTGGTCAAGACATTTCAAGGACTCATTCTTTGTAATTTGTTGAGCTGTTGCGAGAGCCTTTTTGATGAGGTGAATAGAGCACTTCAGCCGGGATTCCCAGAATATTTTGACATCATCCGTCACCCATTCTTCCATTAGTTAACACGCTCTAAGTAATTGCCATTCTTAGTTGATTGAATGGCTCGCATGAGGTGTCACAAAGTCAGTCCAGGCACAACTCAGTAAAGTTGAACCTGGTTCAGTAATGTTCAATCTTAATTAGTTACCCTCTGATTAATGTGTGCACCGGTTTTTTTAAATACTTTTTTAACACATTGATTAAACTTACTGTACTGTATCTATTCATTCTTTTCTGCACCGTTGGGATGTAGTAATATTAAACGTCTCCTGCAATAATGTCTATAGTTTTCATTACTAAATATATAGACTTGTTCTTGTTTATTTTTCTTCCTTTTCATTCATTAGTATTTTACCAAGCTATCACCCCCTACAATGATGTCATCCCCTACAAATATGTCTACGATGTTGCTATATCTGTCTTTATATTTTGCTTTCTTTTGAATTCCTTTTGATCTCTATATCAATTACTGTACCTTTGACCGTGTTTCATTTTTTTACACTCCCTTTATTAAATCTTATGAACATAACATAGTACAAAAATATATTCCACAAATTGACAAAGAGGGTAGCCCAGTACAGTTCATAAGAACTCTTGATTACTATCACCCCCTAAAGCAATTTATTCTTTTTAGGTCTTTAATTAACGTATCTCCTGACATAATGTCTACGCTTTTACATTCTTCAATAGTATCTACCCCTAGAATCAATTTATGTTTGGTGTCCAAAACCTTCATGCTGAAATGACAAGGCAATGGGCCAAGCGCTTTGATAAATGCTGGCAGTTTGAAGGCAGCTTGGAATGGCGCCTGGAGGCATGAGCCGCAAAAGAAAAGAGCAATTCAAGCAATCCTTTAGCCTGAACGTTAAACTCTGAAGATGGCTTTGGTCCTGTTACAAGAGGACCACGACAGACCTGAAAAGTGCTGGTTTGTTCTAGGTCTAGGCTTCATGAGTGAATCTGTTGCTTGGGTGTACTTCAAAATAAAGCTGTTTAAGGGAGACTACCCCCTCAACATTTGCACTTGCTCACGTTTTGTGCTGTCGACTTTGGGTAGTGCTGGGTAGTGTAGACGTTCCGGCGAGTCTGTGACCCTGACATTCAGTTTTGACATCATTGACAGCTCAGACACAACAGATCAGCTTTTCACTTCAAGCGTTCGATTTGCATGTTCTCACCCTGCGCTGACAGATATTTAACGCTGACCATATTTTTTCGCTGAACCTCTTAAGCAGAAGCAACGAAGTACCTTTTTTTGTTTTTTGCGGTAACGCGTCGTTCCTTACTGCGTTATCTCGGAAACTCCGAATAGTTATAGTTCTTGTGTTTTGGGTATCTTCCCAAGTCGAACTTGGGGTTATGTATGGGCCACTAAGAGGGTTTGGACTCCCCCAAAGTCAGGTTGAGACCATGGTCTTACTCTCAGCCAAAACAGCCATCCGACAGGCTAGGCCCTTCAAAGCAACCTCAGCGCTTTGACAAAAAGCTGCAGTACTAGGGTTGGAAGATGTTGGATGTCAAGAATGAGCTCTCCAATCAATCTCTTGCGAGAATCAGCTTATCATTTCTCTTTATGGAGTAAAATCAGATCTTGCCAAACAGACTACCAGGATGTTACTCGATGTTGAATTGTTTGTATTCAAAGCTTTGTCATGCTTTGTCATACAATAATACAAACGGATTGCCTGACGACATGCTGGGTAGTGTTCAGATGGTTTAGGTGTTGTGAAAGTTTGGATGTGGTCTTGTTCAGGGTAAACAATACGCTAGGCCAATACACGCAAGGGCTCACGGCTCAAGACTGAGACAAGGCAAGACAGCAAAATGTCTTGAATGTTTGTTGATGCTCACATAAAGCTTGCGCCGCTTGATTGTTGATCTAGAATCTAGATGACAGCGCTGATTGACTTGAAAGAAGCAATCATGGCACCCTTTGTGTTGAACAAGGATCACTTGCTGTTGTCCTTTTGTATACAAGGTAGGAGAGCAAGTGGAGGTACAGTGAAACAAGTTGGGGAAGAGACTTGCTATTTGTTTTGCCGCTTGACTACCAAAACTAAACATTTTGCACGGTGGGATGCCAAATGACAAACATCGGCCAAGCGCACGGCAACTGCGCGCGGCCATCTTGGCCGATCACTCAGCAATGCTTGAATCAAACCCAGAGTATTCCTCTGGCTGTGTTTGAAGGACTTATTTGTTTCACGCCTTTTTGCCACGAAGTAACTATCGTAAGTCTATCTCCAAAGGCAAAACCTGGGAGTCACGAGCAGTTACCTTTGGTCACGAAAGCGAGCTCCGAAGGAGGTTTGCTGAAGTTCTCGTTTACAGATGGAGGGTTAGAATGGATAGCAGCAAACGGTCGACCCTATGTACAACTACAAAACATCGCAAGCATCAATTGAAACATTTGAGTGATTGGAACTAGCTTGAAGAAGCAAAGGCTGTTCCAGATTGGTGTTCGAGCATTTCCAAGCAAGTCTTATAGTGCTGAAAGCATCAGATTGTACACCATCGCCTGCATTGGTGGTCATTGGCTGGAGGTGGCATGAGCAAAGGTTTTCTCTCGCGTTCGTTCCCGATTCTCAAGTTATTTGCACACGAGGGACCCTTCGTCTTGTTTCAGACACAAAACACTTCAGATACTCCCAACCTTGGACACCTTGGTTTCGGGTTCTCAGTTGTCATCGGACCTCCCTATACTATGGCTTTTCCATCACCTCACCACTTAAGACTTTTTCCAAAAGGCACGCCTTGGAAAAAGGCACACCTTTTGAGTGTGTGTAAATGCGACCACGAATCAAGGCTTTGATCTCAGCCTCAGCTTTGCGTCAGCTTCCTCAGATGAGTGCTACATTGGCATGGCACGCAGGGTCAATGGACTATATAGAAGGACCAAATAGTCTCAACCGACTGAGCTTAAGAGGTCAGCCTTTGTGCTACTACTGTAGTAGGTGAATTTTGGTCCAGAAACAACTTGCATGAAGGGAAGCTTAGTAGGCATGCTTGGTGTGGTGTTTTCTCCCCAAACAGATTGCTCACAACTAAGAGGTGCTTGTGGTTATGGCAAGGCGTTGCTGGTCCCTGGCTCGCCTTTCGTGGCAGTCCTCATGGCCGTTACATGGTAATTTTTGGTGGCAGGTGCAGTACTTTGGCTGCTTGCTTCGCGACTGCACTCTTGTTGTGGTGCCGCGCACATTTTGGTGCTCACTTTTTTTGTGCAGGGGAGCCCTCGTGCTTAGGTGGTCTCAAGTTGACTTTAATTGTTTGGATGTGCAGATGTCGTGGCAGGCAGTACTTTGCACCTTGCACTCTGGTGTCCTCAGATCACCCGCATGCGTGAAGGTACAAGTTCAAGAGCACACACACATAGGAGATGTGCATGTTTGCTACCATTTTGTGATCCCTCATGTGTGTGATGTCATATGTGTGCAGGTTTACGTGTGATCTCAATGTTGGCTACCATGTGCTCACTGGTGTGCTCTCGTATGTGTGCTTTGCATATGTGCTGTCATGTGTCCTATTGCGATGACCTCCCACCTAGATGCGATGGCCTCCCACCTTGACGTAATGGCCTAGCACCTACTCCGACTTACTTTACCCTGGTGCCTTAGGGTTTCACTTAGGTTGGCGTGTGGCAAACCGCAAGTCGTGTCAGACTGACGCATTATATCGAGTGTGTCTCTCCTCGTGGGAGCCCGAGGTGAGCCCGAAGAGTGCCCCCGTGGCCTTGCTGAGCAAGGGTTTGTCCAATTCCCCCCTGCCCGGGAACGATGTGTCCGGAGCGGACAGAAGGAGTCTTAGTGCAAACGTTTGTCAAGACTTGTTGAACTACTTACCGCCACGGTGTCCGTAGTGGACTTGAGTAGGCGGTATGCCAAGAGTAGACCGCAGCGGTCTCAGATCTTTCAAGACCCAATGGGGTCTGTAGGAGCCTTATTCCACCCTTCTCTTCTCCTCTCCCTCTCCCTTCTTCCTTTCACCTCTTTGAGGTTTCCCTGGATGCAGCATCCAGGGCCCCCCTCTCCACGGTGCGTGTAGCTGGGACCACCTCTCCCCATCTTTCCTTCTTCCCTTCTTTTCTTCCTTTTTCCCGAAAGCACTGCGAAGGGTTCTTCCGGAAAATCCCTTGAACACTGACACTTCGACACTTACACTTAGACTTACACACTGACACTTCCACACTTGCGCTTGAACAAAAGCATCCAAGGGTAAGTATGCAAGTGCAAGTATCCAAGTGCAAGTATGCAAGTATCCCAGTGCAATCCCAGTGCAAGTATGCACAAGTGTGCAAGTATGAGTATGGAAAACTTGCACGGGAGATGTCCTAAAAAACTTGCACGGGAGATGTCCTAATGAAAAACATTTCCCCACCTTAAATTCTCTCTTAAAGGCGGAGGGTGGGACGAACAGCGTCAACCGAAAATGCAACCCTCTGCGGAGATCGTGCGTGTCGAGTGCGCGAAATGCAGGCGAGAGTGCGATTGGTGCGGTCCGCGCGCAACCCTCTGCGGAGATCGTGCGTGTCGAGCGCGCGAAATGCAGGCGAGAGTGCGATTGGTGCGGTCCGTGCGCAACCCTCTGCGGAGATCGTGCGTGTCGAGCGCGCGCAATGCAGGCGAGAGTGCGATTGGTGCGGTCCGTGCGCAACCCTCTGCGGAGATCGTGCGTGTCGAGTGCGCGAAATGCAGGCGAGAGTGCGTTTTGTCCGGTGTGCGCGCAACCCTCTGCGGAGATTGCGCGTGTCGAGTGCGCGAAATGCAGGCACTGGCGACTTTCTAGTACTACTTTAGTACGCGGAGTGACTGGGGAGCTGGAAGATGAGAACTGGCGACTTTGTAGTACAACTTTAGTACGCGGAGTATCTGGGGAGCTGGAAGATGAGAACTGGCGACTTTGTAGTACAACT